ACAATATGCAAGTATTGCTTTTATAATTAGAAATTGCATAAATATTTTTAAAACAAAAACAAATTCGATTATTAGACCTGACCCTCTATTCCGAAAATACTTCCACTGAGTAAAATCCTCAGTGTTTAGTACTGCTTAGTACACATCTGGAAGTTATTTTTAATTATGTTTCTCTTCCGTCACCCTCCCCAATGTCAATTTCATTGTTGGTCACTTTTTCCACGGTGTCATTTGGATATTTTCTTTTTAATCTGTTCCACTGTCTAATACCTGATCCAAAGCATCTGATGTCCATACTATTCTTTTTTACTCCTCTTTCCACTTAATTTTGATTTTTCATTGGCGGAGAAAAAAGTGGTGTTTGTTTTAATATGTAATTAAAACTATATACATAAGCCTGGAATGTATAAATTAGATCCTTTTAAGCACAGATTCTGGATTCCTGTTGTAGTGGGGTATAATTGGGCTGCTGAGTATAAGGTCTGTATTTTGAACCCACCAGCTAGCTACTTGCTAGAGAAAGATGAAACTGTGTTCCTATAAAGATTTAGTCTCGTAAACCCTTGGTTTGTTTTTGAAGCACACATTCATTGCCATTCAGTGGTTGAAATTCCCACAAGTGTATTATATAGGATTGCTTTAAAATCTCAAATAAGAAATGTATACATTCTTAGGATATTTCAAAAATTTAAAACATCATGATAACATCCAGAACAGAGATATCCTTCCCTTCCCTTGGAACATAAAGTTTCTTTACACAGAGATTTTCATTGGTGAAACTGAGTCCATTCCCATACCACCCCTTCTTGGCACAGGAAGACATCCACACCCCTTAGACCACATCCAGTTAACAATCTGCCACTCTGCCATAGCCTGAGAACCAGTCAAACTTAGCTTGTGAAAGACTTAAAATCATCAGAGTTGGTCTGGCCACAGAAAGCATAGCCTCCCAAATCCTTGAACCATCTCAGCTGATTAAAATTTCCCCAGAGTCCAAAAATCCACTTTAATATCTTTCCAAAAACTTGTCTTTTTCCTGGATTTATAAGAAGACAAGGGATGGGAGGGACAAAAATTAGGAGCTAATACTAAAGGCTCAAGTAGAAAGAAAATCTTTTGAAGAGGATGATGGCAACATAGGTACAAATGTGCTTGACACAGTGGATGTATGGATTGTTACAGAAGCTTTAAGAGCCCCAATAAAATGATTTTTTTGGGGGGGGAACAAGACACAAACTAATTTTCATTAATTAAAACATTCATTTACATATAGAAGATCTTCTCTAATCACCAGGAAAAAAATCAGAAAGTCTATCATCACTTGTTATTGTGTGTTGTCAAGTTAATGCTAACTCATAACGATCCTATAGAACAGAGTATAACTGCCTCATTGGGTTTCCAAGATTGTCTTATTTATGGGAAAAGTTGCTACATCTTTTTTCCTGCAGAACAGTTAGTGGGTTTAAATTGCTGGCCTTTCAGTTAGCAGCCAAACGCTCAACCATTGCCCCACCAAACTTAGCAGTTTTGTCATCTCTTCCTATCTGACCAGCCTACAAATTGCTGTTATATATACATTTGTACAAAAATTCCCGGGACTTCAGTCAATAGTCTTCCCTCATTTGTTCCAGAGGAAGGGTTGGTAACTGTCAAGAGATAACTATCATTCAAGGGAAGGGTCTCAGAGACTCACCAGAGGGCTTCTTCTTCAGGCCCACCCAATGCTATTTGGGTCTGCTCTGCTTGAAAGCTGATTTACCCCCTTAAGCTTAGTCCAAAAGACAGTTTCTTTGATTGGAGTGTAGAGAGTAAGAATTATTTTATAGTCAAATCTATATAGTCCACAGAGTGAAAAGTTGTATTGATAATACAGGGACAGTGGCTGTATTGTATTTAATTAGACAGCCTGAGTGAAGCACTACCACTTTAGGCAGACTACCTTAGAAAATGCTGTCTCTGAGCCAATCATTTAAATTAGAGCTGTCTATCCCAATTTACGCAGATAATGTACCAAGAGAAGCTGGGAACCCCTGGCATTGGCCTCTGTTGCAGTAATAAGATACTCTAGGTTACAGCAGATTAGGCTTCATTTTTCAATATCACTTTGGTCTCTGGAACATTATTTCTGTTTCCTGGCTGTCTGCCTCACTTTGATCCATGGTTTGTTGACTTTTGGCTTCTGTATAGTTCTTGTTTAGTACCAGTACTTTGTTCCTAGTTTTGCCTTGACCATTGTTGGCCAAAAAAACCCACTCATTTTGAGGCAAATAACTCCTTATTTTTACCGAAATCAAAGCTTGACCCTGATACCAATTTACTCTTGAGTTGCCCCCGCCCCCAACCCTCACATTTTAGCTTTACCTTCTAAGTCCACAACTGCTTGGGTGGTTCTGCCTTCTCTCACTTGTTCAAGGAGAATTTATTGAATTAGAAATGTTCTTTGGGGCTCTTGTCTCTAGCTTTGTTTGATTTGCTAGAGTTAATCAGTGAACATTTATCAAGTA